TGTGATTTTATTAACATGAACAAATGTCCTATTTGAAATCTAGTATGACATCCATAGAAAGTCCCAAGTCATGGGGGACGACATGTTAATACGAGTCCATAACATATATGTGATTACAAGATCTCGTTAGCCATTTGTCAAAGTAGTGATGTGATTAAGGCTGAAATGTACATCATTGAGGCCGTTAATTAGAATCTCTTAACTTCACTTGTTGGTCAAACTATATATTTTATGTGTGTTGAGTGTCAATCAGGTTATACATCGTCGGAGCATAAAATGAGCAAAAAGTCAGAATTTGGGCAGAGTTGACTTTCCCGCACGTGCGTTGACTTTCCCGCACGTGTGTTGACTTTTTCTGGAAAAGTCAAACCGACGTTTTAAACCTGTTTGGACGAGATTGGAAGCATAAAAAGACAAGAAAAAGGTTGGATTACGGTTCTGAAATTGTTTGGACCTAAAGAGGGAGGCTAGGGTTTGGAAAAGAAGAAAAACAAAAGCTTCAAGGATGTCTCCCATGGTGGTTCTTTCTCCTTCTACTTCCTTCCACTCTTCCATGAGTGGCTAGTCTTCTTTTCTAGGGTTTTGATGAAACCTTAGACATGTAATGATGTAGTTTTTTTTTTTTTGATTTTATATTATATAAAGGTTTGAACCATTGTATGGAGTTTTAGAAATTCTTTATATATAATTTTCATTATCTTTTTAAATATTTGACTTTCTGTGATTGTTGAATATTATCCATACATGAGTTTTCTATTCCTTCACATTCAAGGTATGGGACGAACCATGCTACGAGGAACGAGTCGTATCACTACCCTAGTTTAGAGTGAACGATTCGTATTACTTGAGATGGTTCGTGCTCGTACATTGAATGTGATAATCTTCTTGTTAAATGCTTTGAGCTTGTAGTTGTGAAGCATTAATTCGTTCAAACCATAGCATAATTAATTTCAATTGGAAACCCTAATTATGTGGTTAGTGGTGAATTCTCTACCCTAGGATTTTTCCCCAATTTAGTAAATCCAATTTCATTTAATATTGATAATTTAATTCCTTAGTTTAATTTATTTGTTAATTAAATTAGGTTATGATCATTCAATCTTTTTATCAAAATTAATTTAGGAATTTAACAATTAAATTAGTTTAATTTCACAATAGTCCCTGTGGATCGATACCTGGACTTGCCATTATTCTGATAGAATTTGGTATAGTTTAGTATTTAATTTTGGTGTGTTCAACGACCAACCAAAATTTTGGCGCCGTTGCCGGGGACTTCTGGCAAAATTAATTAATTTAAACTTACATTCTTATTTAATTTTTTAGTTTAGAATATTATGTTTTCGTGTTGCTAAGTGTGCAGAGTTTTTGTAAGTAGAGCTATCACTGAAGTGCAGGTGGAGTGCAACTGAGCTTTAAAAACAAACCGCAGCACGAAAGCATTTAAAGAAAAAGAAGCAAATACTCACAAGCAAAGCACCAAAGTGCTAAAACAGAAGTCAAAGCTCAAACAGAGGTTGGGGACAACGTCTACACGTCAACCATCCGTAAGACGAGTAAAGCGTTTTCGTTAGTTGACTTTTGGTAAATAGTGTTAACTTTTTAACTTTTTGAGTAACTTTTTGACTTTTTGGCTTATTTGGGACTTCCCAAACTTAGCCTAAATAAATAGTGTGTTTGATTTGTGATTTTTTTATTATTCATTTTTAATAATTTTGACTTTTTAACTTTTTTTTTTTTGATGAAATAATTACATATGTTGTGTCTTTGAATTAAATTTGAATAAATTCCACAAACCTCCTTTTTAAAATTTAGAAAAAAATATAATAAGTTTCACAAATTTATTATAATTACACATTGCTTATGATTTAAATTAACATAACTCTTAAACCCCATTTCATTTGTAATTCGGTAGTTATATAAATGCAAAAAATGATATTATCATTTTTTTACGTTGAAATATATTTTATATTATTTATTTTTGTGTATTCATTACATCTGTATTAGTTCAAATCCCTTCAATCTTCCAAAGAGGGAGGTCAGTACTTTGGAGCCATTTCTCTCCTTTTTTTTTTTTTTTTTTTTTTTTCTCTTCTTTTTGCTATAAATGAGGATTCTTTGGAGGCAAATTCAAAAACCCATTTTAGATATAATTACTAATTAATAATAGTAAGATTACAGATAAATTTAGTGAATCCAATGATAATGATGATGAAGATAATGGTTTATAAAGTTTGAGAGAGAGAGAGAGAAGCATAAGCTGAAAAGAGGATGATGAGAGAACAAATGAAAGGAGAGATTGAAACTATGAAGAGCTTTTAGAGATAGAAAAGTGAAATGAAAATTTTATGAGAGGATTTTGACGAGATAGGATAAGGGTTTGGGTTTACCCTCTTTTGGATTTCTGAGCAATCCTGACCTCTCCTTCTTGCTTGCCTTGATTGCTCTCTCTCTCCTCTTTTCTCTCTTCTCTCTTTCTCTCTACTCTTTTGTTTTTCTTTTTCAAATGAAATGTGTGGGTCAATGGGCTGTATAAAGAAATGGGGGTGTATTAAAAAAATGGGGCCATTCGAGCCATATGGCTTTCGAGCTATGAATCGCAACCGGCTTTATATTTAGCAACAATGATTCATCCCCCCTTTTTCCCTCACCCCTTTGACCCCTTCTCTCTCTTATTGGTTACATTTTCTTTTTCTTTTTTTTCCTGCTCCTCCAATCACCACCTGTCACGTGGCAAAGGGGGTGAGGGGTGACCCCCAAAAGGGGGTCCCAAGCATTATTCTATATTTAGTGTGTTTAATTTGAGTTTTTTAAATTAAATTTTTTGAAAATTGAATTTTTTGGTTTTCGTATTTTTATTTTTTATTTTTAGTGAATATTTTTAAAATTTTAAACATTTTTTATTTATTTTTTTAGATAAATCTTACTTAGATGTATCTAAAAAGTAAAAAATTTATGAAAAAATATTTTAACAAATTAATAAATACACAAAAATATAAAAAAATATACTGAATTCTCGTATTTTTTTTTTATATATTTTTGGTATTTAGTAAATTTTTAAAAGGTTTTTTTCATAATTTTTTTACTTTTTAAGTATATTTATATTAGGTATGTCTAAAAAATAAAAAAAATTGCTTAAAATATTAAAAAATTCAGTAAAAATAAAAAAATAAAATTTTCTAAAAAATATTTTTTAAAAAACCTAACCAAGCTGTTTTTCTTTCAAGTGAGGGCACATAGTAGTTTTCTAGATGCAATGGCGATTTTTAGATTCCGCAATTAAAACGTTAACTTAAAAAAAAATACAAAAAAAAAAAAAAATGTTAAAAACTCAATATCAAATAACATTCATCATCTGATAAAAAAAAAAAACAAAATAACATTCATCATTAAAAAAACAAAAAAACAAAACCAAGCGACAAGTTGACTTTAACACCTTGGATTTGGTAAATTAAGAAGTCACTAGAATAAAAAGCTGTATTTGAATCCACATTTGATAGGGCTGAGTAAGAAATTTATAAAATTCGTAATTTGATTCAGTTCAGTTTAATTCGGTAGGTTTGAATTAGTTTTTTGAATCCATGATCCATAGTTCACAGATTGGTTCCGGATTGAACACCACGATTTCGAATTGGAACCAATCTGGATCATATACAAATAGTTTATATTTTTATTATACATTCTCCCCCATAGTATCTTCTCTTATTCCATATAAAATCTAAACTCAAACTTAAACCCGCATAATATCTTCTTTTATTACAGTATGTCGCTATTATAGAAAGATATATTACTACTGTGGAACTAATATAGCGTTATGTTTATATTTTTATGACGTTAAAATGTTACATATATACTTTTTTTGTTATTTAATTATGTGAATCCGTAGTCCTAAACCGATCCAATCCGTGTTTAAATGGATTAGTTTGGATTAATTCCATGATTTAAACGGATTGGGTTGGTTTTAACTTTTTAGGAACCGTAGATAACGAATTACTCCTGATTTTACCCTAATCACCCCCTAATAGTTGACTTTGTACAACTTCAATGCTTACAGTAATGATGCAAAAATGACTATTTTTATCACAATTTTTATCACATTTTTGTCTACTTGTTGACGTGGTAATAACATCAACCAATGGACCCAACCAATACCTCTCTCTCACCATCTTTCTCCCAACACCTTCTCTCTCCTCTCCTCACCACCACACCACGGCCACACCACCGCCCCGCTCTCCCGTCCTCCACGGGCCAACTGCTACCAAAAACCAAGAACTATAGCTATTGATGGATGAGTATCAATACAAGCTTCGTATGATGATACATCTATACTAGGATACGAAGATATATGGAGTAGAGATGAAATGCCAACTTGAGCACGTTGGCTTGATCTATACTAGGATACAATCTTCATATGGATTATTATTATCAAAAAAAAAAGAAGAAAAAGGCTGACTATTGATGGATGGTACAATAAAATATGAAACAAAAGCATTACAGAACTGAAATGGAAGAAGATGACTCGGCTTCAATGACAAAAAGTAAAGAAGTTCATCTAAAAGACAATACTCTCAATCATCATGCATGAATAAAAACAAAAAGTATAAAAACACAAAGAGTTAAAGATGAGAGGAAATTCAGATCTAGAAGTTGAAAACACGGATATAAAAGCCTCCTCTCTTCTCCCCCTCTCTCTCCCCCTTGCATTCTTCTTCTGGTCAATGAATCACCATAGATATAAATAAAATCATCAGTCAATTCAAAGACAATGATCAATGAATCACCATAGGCAGTGTGGGAGAGGAGAAAAGGGAAGAGAGGGAATGGGAGGGGATTGCGAAGATATTGGTAGGGGGAGGGGGAGGTTGAGGTGGCCTTTGGTGGTGGTGGTGGTAGTGGTGGAGCCTGGTGGTGTATGGCGGGGCAGAGGAGAGAAAGAAAGTGTTGGAAAAGAGAGAAGGAAATAGAGAAAAAAAAGGAGACATTTTTAGTGGGATCCAATTGCAGATGTGTTAATAACTTTATTATCAATAATATCTTGAACAAATGACTTCTAAGTTCTATCCATTCACAAAACATCGCTCTGAAATTCTCCAATTTCTATAAGCAGACCAATCTAAAATCATAACTACTTCAGAGATAAGGACAACATACACTAACATATTTCATTACTTCAGCAATAAATAATTAGTGGATTATTTAAAATTTCTGGGGTGAATATAAGTGGGATGCCAATTCCATGCTTCCCAAAATAATAAAAAATAAAAAATTACGAAGCATCATAAAAGCCTTGGTGCCCTGCCAGCAGCTCATTATTTGATTTCTCCGGTTTCAACGCGAATACAAATTCACATCACTGAGTCACTGCTTTCCCTGGTTCGTTAATCAGTTAATCTGAATAACAAGAACAAATAGCTCTATATGAAAAACATGTCACATTTCAACAGCTATATGAACAGGTAGAAGTATGAAAGGTTATCTCATGTAACATGAAAATGGAAAGATCAATAGAAAGGAGTGGGCCAAACCAAGAACAAATATACACTGTATGTCACAGGCAGCACAATATGGTTGATTCATTATTGTCTTTTGTATTATGTTTATTATTTATTTGTGTCTGTATACATTAACCATTTCGAAGGATAGTTATTGGTAACAATTTATAAAGACAATTCCAAGTCCTTCAAAATATGGTTTTCAATCTTATTTATTGAGTAATGATTGGCAAATAAATAAGTAGTTGCAGTTATGGGAATGATTGATTTAAATTTTCCAAGGGGTGCTCTTCAAAATTTGATATAACAACACTGCTTCATAATCTGGGTTAAATAAGAAGGCATATTTCATCTGTAAATTACTCTTGCAGTGATCATATATATATATATATATAATATTGATAGTTTACCACCAAATACTTAAAAGGTAATACCAGTAGTTTATCTGACTATTGATTGCCTTTGAGTTAAGCAATGACATAATATCAACAAAATGCTAGTCCAGTTGCTTTTCCAATTATTATTATTATTACCCCAGGAGGAAATAGCTTGGAACCTATGAAACACCAAAGTTTGTTGGATAGCTTGATATATATTGTTGGGCCCATTTTGTAACAGCTTAAGCTTTTGGGACAATTGGCAACTTAACTTGGTATTAGAGCTTAGGTTGAGAGAGGTCTTGGGTTCAAGTCTCTTCGTTGGCATTTAGTATTTGGTCCCCGTTTGGTTTCTTCTTCTCTATTTGATTGTTTTCTTCTCTTGGTTTTTTGTTTTCTTCTTCTCTATTTGATTGTTTTCTTCTCTTGGTTTTTTGTTTTCTCTCCACGTGTAAGACAGGATTGCATGTGAAGGAGGGTGTTGGATAGCTTGATATACATAAACTTCAAGCACTTGGAGAACACGTATGTCTATTGCTTAGACACACATGAAACCAAGGTTCTGAAAAGCGGTTGCGGTCGCCGTAACGGTGGCGGTGACGCGGTTGCGGTTGCGGGGTGTAAAGGCCGTAGTGTAACGGTTGCGGTAACCGGAACCGTGAATTTTTTTATTTTTCGCACAATTTGAAAAAAACTTACCGATATGCATATTTTTTTTCCATGATCATATTTATTGGGTTAAAAATAAATATTGATCAATTTTTGTAAATTTTTAAATATGATTCAATATATTTCATATTTTTAAATAACTATAAACTGAGTTTTTTACATTTTATTTTAATAATTAATGACTTTATATTATACAAAAAATCAATCACTAACTATTATATATAAGATAAACAATGACAAAAGTAAGAGAATAAATAAGAGTCTAAATATATATATACATATTTTTACCAAGCCAAATAGATAATGACCACACTTATTATTATTATTATTTTCAAACAATACATAGATAGACACACACAAACAAAATGGTTTAGTGATAGTAGCTGAATAGAATAGCATAGGTCTTACAGTTTCAACAAATCAATAACATGTTCTTCATCTTCCCTTTTCTCTCTCTCTATCTCTTGCTCCTCCATTTTCTCTCTTTATCTTCCCTCTTCTCTCCATCCCTTTTCCCCCATTTTCAGCTTTTTTTTGTGTGTTTTTTTGAAAGAAACAATTTGGAACCGTTACGTAACGGTGCGTAACAGGCCGTTACGGCACCGTTACGACCGCTACGGTAGCCGCTACAACCGACACACCTGTGAATCTCATTCACACTGCAAAAGCGGCCGTAACGGGTGGCGGTAACCACCAAAACCGTTACGTAACAGCGTTACGTAACGGTTGTGGCCGCTTTTTAAAACCTTGCATGAAACACAATACAAATTTGAATAAACTAACTTACAATCTAACGATAAAAGAAAAAAACCAACATCAATTTGTACACATGCTCCTCTAGATTTTAAAAATTCTTATCTTTGAATTAAGTATTCACATATATGATTTATAATAATGGCTTATTCTTATATATTCCATATAATAAATATATAAAGCTATAAATTTTGCGTGTTCGCCAAGTATTGTGTCCTTCGTTTTTTAAAATTTCCATGTTGTCATGTCCGTTTGTTGTGTTTGTGTCTAGGCTTCTTAGCTTGCAACTAAGTAAATCTCCAATTATTCAAAGGCATCCTGTCAACACTCTTTAGAAACTTACCAATGAGTATTAGAGTTGTAAGTTGATATTTTCAGACCATTTGAAGATATCAGAGTGAACTTGATCTCCTCCCAAGTCTTCTCCAGTAGCTCCTGCTGCCACTCTTATAACATCTTCAATCAGTGCAAAGTTCCCCATTATATCGACATGAGCACCACTTTGAGTTCCCCGGCCCTCCAAAAGATATGAAGGAGGGGCATGATTATATTCCCTTAAGTAAGTAGGAATACCCGAAGGATTGAATCGGGTTTTTCCTCGCCAGCCTTTTGCAGCCATAAAACCTGCACTCAGGGCAGGAACAGTTTCATCTCCATCAATGGAAAAAACTCCACCCTTTAGACAATTGCAGTTATGCCCACCCTCGGCTGAGGTGTCAATCTGAAATGGAATGTAACACTCAGAGGCAGCACTTAACTTGTAAATGTACGCCCTTTCAGTGGGGATTCCAACCCCGTACATGGAGAAAATCTCCAAGTCAGAAGCATTTGGTAATCTGCAAAAGCATCACAGAAATTCAAAATTTGCAGTAAAAAAAGGGACAAAATTCACTTGACCCCCAGTGGTTTGATCTAGGAGCACATCACTCCTTATAATTTAAATATAAGCATAGAGCCCTCAACATGGTTTACTAAATTGCAATCCTAACTATGTTAAGAACAGATGTGAAATAACCTTAATACCCCCATCTCCCTCTCCCTCCCATTATAAACACTTTCTAAATGACCTAAATAACTTTCTGGCCCCCTGCCTTATTTTTTGGCTTCTCTTATTTTCTCTCTCTCTCTCTCTCTCTCTCTCTATTATACACATAATTTCTAACTTATCCAACATTAATTCAATTAAATCACAAATTAATCCTAAATCCCTAACTATTTATTCTAATTCCTAACTTTTTAACCTACTTTAAATTAAATTATATTTTAAAGCATACACACAAACAAATACATATATATACACATACAGGATATATCATACACACACTTTATATGCACTGTATACATACATATATTCAGGGCTTCTTGGCAGTGAAGGACATAGCCACTATAAGAAAATACTAATAGGCATATCTCAAACTCAGTACCTGAGAATGCATAAGAGTGAAGCAAGTAAAGAAGCATTTTGTGATAAATGGACGTCCCAAAGATTTCACAATTTTCACATGATCATTCACTCTATTAGGCTCCGTAGGTTGAATGTTTGTCGTAAACAGAATTGACCACACAAAAATTAAAATTGGAGGATGATGAACATTGCACGCTGGAAGCTCAATGTTTTTATAACTTTTGCTCTCTTTGGTTTATAATGCACAGGAGGCTGCCACAGGGCCTGGGGAGGGGAGATGGGGTGGCTGGAAGTGTTGGAGAGGAGGGAGGGTGTGGCTGGTTAGAGTGTGGGTTAGGGTTCTTAGGTTAGGGGTAGTTGATGAAGATAACGGTATAAATGTCTTTTACAATTTTATTTTTTTAAAATAGGCCCACTATCAAAATCAGCACGTGTATTACACATTCCATTAGTTTGGAAGGAAGAAGTAACGATTGCAATTTAGACCAACACCATTGCAATTTGTCCAACACCATATAGGGCTTTTCTGCTTATATTCTATTACCAAAAATGAAAAAGAAAGAGAGAAAATATTAAGGAAAGAAACAAGAAGCATTGATTGTATAACATATAAACAAGTGACTAAGAAATGTAGAATTAGTATTACAAGAAAGATAAATTAGCTTAAAAAAATTGGATGAGTGAATGCAAAAAACCAGATCATAAAAGCAGGTGCCTGTGCATGCACACACAAGAAAAAGAAGTAAATAGAGTCTCACTTTGTTTCTAAGGGGTTTGACCAATATTTGTAATGTTCATATTTTTTGTCATCCAAATTGTCAGCAATTCCATACGAAAAATGAGCACTGCCACGCTTCATCATCTTCGGGGCAACAAAATGAAGCAGATCCAGTACTGATCCAGCCGTGTAAGCTTTGTAATCTGCAACAGCTTTGATACCCGCCATGCCCATATCATGGTACTCAGTCCATACATCATGGCAAGTTGAGTTTGCAAGGTTATTGCCCCTTACAGCACCCTACAGATCAACCAACAAGTAAATAACATCAGAACTCAAGCAAGGGCGGTCTGCGCACACACACACACACACACACACACACATATTAGATTGGATGAACTCTCCAATATTTTGGCTTGAACTTTCTCCTCAATATAAATCTATATATCCTTTCTAAGAAAGTAAGATTAAAGTTGTCAGAGTCCATGACTACGACGAGCAATATTCACAAATCTCAACCTCAATTTTATACTATCACTACTTTCCATTTTGTTTGGTACAAAATTTTGTAGAACCCGTGCTAGTCTTTTATTTTTTCATATTTAGGGGAGAAAATAAGTATAGGGAAAAAAAAGAGTAGATATTTTACTATAACTCCCTCATAAACAAACAAAACAGATTAGAGATTTTACCTTCAACACCTATTACGGTAATACCACTAAGGGCAAGGTCACACCCTCCTACCACAAAAAAAAAAAGTTACGAGTTTGTGTAGTGTTAGGCACGAACCATTGTGGTTATGTTAACGAAGGGGAGCACCATAAGAAAAGTCTTAGTTACGAACCATTATGGTGAGAAAAGTTACAAGCCATCGTGATTTTGTTATGAATCTATGTGGCGTAGTTACAACAGGGCATATGGTTTACCCTTTTAAGGGTGTGTACCATAGCCTTTCCCGATAATCATTACCATCAGCCCCATTCTCTGTCATCAAATATTGTGATGACAATGATGAATGCATCACTGCTTCAAGGGGTTAGGGAAAAAGTGGAGAGGTGAGGAACTCAACCGAATGTACATTACAGCAATATATACAAACATTCCAAGTTCCAACCACAATTAGACAACTAAAAAAAACTTCTTAATAATGGTACTTGCTAAAAAAAACTTTGCTCCAGGAATCAATGGAGTGCTTTTATCGGCCAAACGCTATATACAACTACATCTCACCTTCAGCCCCCCTCTAAGAAAAAAAATCTAGTTCTTGTTGGGATCTGGGATCCCGCCCAAGACCTTATAGAAATTATTCCATGCAGAAAAACACACCCACACTCAAGGAGACACAATATTGAACGTGGTTCGGCCTCAATGCCTACGTCCACGGGAGAGTAGCCGGTTATCACTATAACAATGGAGATATTACAGAAAGATTACAATAGAGGAGGAGCTCACACTCTCCTCACTCACCCACTCACCCGTCTCCCTCGCTCACACCGAGGGAGACGGTCTCTCCACTTCACATATCTCACTCTCTGTGGCTTGCTCTACTCACTCACACACAAACCCTTCCCTTAGCCTCCATTTATACTCAATCAGAATGGAGATGGAGAGGCTGGCCTTGCATATGGCCAGCTATCTTGTGTGTTGGCTTCACATGGCCAGCTCATGCAGCACATGGAGGATCACCCCTCACATAGGGTGATGATATTCCACAAATCACCCCCTCAACCCATGTGAGGTGATCCACAACACACATTGCTGGAATCATGTAATTAATCAATCTTGTAACAATTACAAACATCAATCAATAATACAATTCTCTTTTTCTCTTTATACATTAAATTTCTACAGCTAGAGATAATACACCAGAGATACAAGAGGAGGAGGGAATCCTACATCCTCAACTCAACTCACACCACTCTCTGATTTAGAGAGAACCTCTGCTCCTATCTCCCACAGATCTCTTCCACGCTTCCTGTCTCGGATGTCTTCAGCATAGTCTGCATCTCCTCACTGAAATGCATGCACCCCCTGAAGCTAGAGATAATACACCAGAGATATAAGAGGAGGAGGGAATCCTACATCCTCAACTCAACTCACACCACTCTCTGATTTTGAACGGATAGCTGCTCCTATCTCCTACAGATCTCTTCCACACTTCCTGTCTCGGATGTCTTCAGCATAGTCTGCATCTCCTCACTAAGATGCTTGCACCCCCTGAAGCTAGAGATAATACACCAGAGATATAAGAGGAGGAGGGAATCCTACATTCTCAACTCAACTCACACCACTCTCTGATTTGGAGAGAACCGCTGCTCCTATCTCCTACAGATCTCTTCCACGCTTCCTGTCTCGGATGTCTTCAGCATAGTCTGCATCTCCTCACTAAGATGCTTGCACCCCCTGAAGCTAGAGATAATACACCAGAGATATAAGAGGAGGAGGGAATCCTACATTCTCAACTCAACTCACACCACTCTCTGATTTGGAGAGAACCGCTGCTCCTATCTCCTACAGATCTCTTCCACGCTTCCTGTCTCGGATGTCTTCAGCATAGTCTGCATCTCCTCACTAAGATGCTTGCACCCCCTGAAGCTAGAGATAATACACCAGAGATATAAGAGGAGGAGGGAATCCTACATTCTCAACTCAACTCACACCACTCTCTGATTTGGAGAGAACCGCTGCTCCTATCTCCTACAGATCTCTTCCACGCTTCCTGTCTCGGATGTCTTCAGCATAGTCTGCATCTCCTCACTAAGATGCTTGCACCCCCTGAAGCTAGAGATAATACACCAGAGATATAAGAGGAGGAGGGAATCCTACATCCTCAACTCAACTCACACCACTCTCTGATTTGGAGAGAGCCTCTGCTCCTATCTCCCACAGATCTCTTCCACGCTTCCTGTCTCGGATATCTTCACTTGCTATGCTTGAACTTGCGCAACCAAGATACCCTGCACCCCCTGCTGGGATGCCCTTGACTGTCATGCATTACCGTGCAACTCCTTGCATGATGAACACGGGAGCAACTAGAAAACTTCAGAGTTTGACACATCAACATCCTCATTTTCCTTGCTCGGAGCTTATTTCTGAACAACCAGCCTTTGCTTTCTGCACTTCAGAACAACCTCCTGGCGTTTCCACATACGCTTGTTGTCTGTGCTGCAATCCCTGATGTTCGGTTCTGTCTCACTTGTACGTCCGTACTGATGTTTGACAGTTAGCCCTTCTGCCAAGACAACTTCCACCGGTCTGTACAAGTTACCACTATGCAACTCCGTGCATAGTGCTCGCACCCATGGCTTCTGGTCTCCCTGCGTCAAGCTTGCTTGAGAGATCTGCATCAACTTTATCATCTGCTGCCATGGAACTAAAGAAACCACCATAGAGAAATAAGACTTGCCACTCCTTGGCACGCACTCTTGCGTTTTACCTGTCTCAATTTCTCTGTCTGGAAGTTCCTGTGAACTGTCACCAACTGCTGCTTCACACTCTTCTCGCGCCTTTGTACGACACTCTAGCATACCCTTGCACTGTTGCATGTCTGCAATTGTACTTCTGCGCTTAGGATGCTCCTCTGCAACTATTGTTCTACATGTCCACATACCATTAGTACCTACTCGTATACAGTAGCCTCAACAGCCACAGTATTTCCCTGAGCCTGTACTGGTTGCCAAATCATCTATCCGTCGATGAATGGTCTTCTCTTTTGATTGAACCAGATCCTCGAATACCTCAACAACCAGGAAAGTTCCCAGGAAAGACTGGTGGGGTCACAACCGGTCCCACTTAAGAACCAAGTCTTCTTAGAAGTGTCTTTTGACAGAACTTTCCTAGACCTTTGAGATAATCATGTCTGCAATCCTCTGATCGCCCCTGACCAATCCTGATCTCCCTCGATCTGCCATTTGATCAAGCCTGATCTCCTCTGGTTTTTCAATGATCTATCTCAATCTGTATCTGGTTGTCCAATCTGGTCAGAATCTGCCCATTCTACCTCTTCATGAATCCGCAGCGTTCCACAATATCCAGCAACCTTCCTTCGAGTATTGAAGATGACAAACACCCATGTTTTGACAATCTTTCCAAACCGTTCAGAATTTCACTATTCTGACCTCGCGGTTGCGTCGGAGCGGTCCGTTTAGCTAGAACAATCTTTGCTGCATTTTCGGGACCTCACTGAAAATATCCCCGAAAGCTGGGCCAACACACAATTTTTCTGAAAATTCTGGGCCAAATTGCAATTTTCAGAAGTTTAGGAATATTCCGTGTACCAACAGAATATTCCGTCCACTGCCCCTGATGCCGTTCGTCTCTTTAATCTGGCTTCTTTTACAGAAACTCCGTCTCAGAATCTGACCGTACGGATGTGTCCGGAATACTCCAAATAGTCGGAAATCACTATTGGATCACCAAAAACGGACTCCAAATGGCTTCGATCTAGCCAAAACATTTTGTACGCCTCAGATCTGAGGCTGCACCGTAGCCGCGAAGCACTGGATCCTTCCTCCTGCGGCTGCACCATTGCCGGGTCGCACTGGATCCCTCCTTTGGATGCTGACGTGGCAGATGACTGTGCTGCCACATGGCGACCACTTGCTGACGTGGCGATGACAGACTGTTACGTGGCGCTGACGTGGACTGCCACGTGTCGCTGACCTGTCTGCCACGTGGCAGTACGACTGGCATGCTTATGCTGACGTGTCTGATGACGCGGCTGCTGACGGGGCGCCCGTGGCCTGCGTGTGCCTTACACGCGCCTTTCCCCACTTACCTTCTTCCTTCAGCCGCGCGTGGGGCGCGTGCGTGAGACTGGGCCGACGCGCCGACTGTCTTCACGGCGCGTGGGGGCGCGTGCCGCGACTGGGATTCACGCGCCAAATTCCAGAGGCGCGTGAGGGCGCGTCCGGTCTCCGTTGGGTGTCTGCTTTATATTTCTGGACTCCTCTCGTCGAGCCCTTGCTCCTGGTATGCTCAAAATCTGATTTCGAGCAATACGATTTCTGGGCAGTTTCAAACATCGCACTGTTTTTGTTTCGAAACGCCGCCGACGAGGCTCTGATACCAATTGTTGGGATCTGGGATCCCGCCCAAGACCTTATAGAAATTATCGCTGCTCCTATCTCCTACAGATCTCTTCCACGCTTCCTCGGCCTCAATGCCTACGTCCACGGGAGAGTAGCCGGTTATCACTATAACAATGGAGATATTACAGAAAGATTACAATAGAGGAGGAGCTCACACTCTCCTTACTCACCCACTCACCCGTCTCCCTCGCTCACACCGAGGGAGACAGTCTCTCCGCTTCACATATCTCACTCT